GCAGCGAAGCCGGACCTCCTCTCGGCCCCCCAGCCGGCTCCGAGGCGGAGGCGGCGGCACGAACGCTCTTTCACTTTCGGGGGGATTTAAACATCCCCCCGATATTTTTTTTAAGTTTTTCGATTTTTGTGCACCCCTGGGGACTGCCCCAAGAGTGCACAAACCTCCCCCTGTCCCCCAAGTGCCCCCGAAGTGCGGATATAGATATCCGCACGGAGGGGGCCACTTGGTTATTAGATATATAGATTGAATAGTGGGTGCCAAAGTTCTAATTCTAAAATGCACTCCCTTAGTGTATGGCTGATGGCACTGCTCCTCAGCATATATCGCCACCAATCAGAAGGCAAAGCCCGGGTCCCGCCCACACCACAACTGCTGCGACAACCTGGTCTTTTGCATATGGAAGCTGATTGGACTTCACTCCATTCCACACCTCAAACTCCCCCCCCCCCCGCAAGGCAGTTGGAATGTCAGTTGCATATGGAATCTGCTGTATTCTGGTGGTATGCAGGTCCCAGATTCATGTTTTAAAAGCAGACTGACACTGTTTGCCCAAAGCCAGAGCACTCTCCCAGAGCCTCTTTCTAGATCCCGTTGTATTTATTTCCACAACGGGCCTTATTTCTAGTTTAAAATAAACCTGGTTCTCCTGGATTCATAGGAGGTCGTCTGGGTCCCCTCAGTCGATAGAAACTGCCTGTCACATGGCCCTCATGCAATGCACATTCCACAGGACTGGGGACACTGTAAGGAGGTCTTAAAGCTTACAAAAACAGACACACTCCTCAGCTAACCAAGTGCAATGTTGTAAGGTTTAATCACTGTGCAAAAGTCTGAAGTCCTGGAGCCTTCAGAATGCCATGACACCATGACTTTCAACCGCTTTGTCTTGGTAGCTCTGATCTGTGAGAGAGAGACGCAGGGCAGGGCAGGGCAGGTCATGTTCTTTGTTGTTTCTGCAGCTTAGTTTTATTTTTTCTTCTCAAACCATCTTTGTCTCTTATTTTTCTCCCCCCCCCCCACCTAGGACTTCTTTGAAAGCTACATTTCTGTGGCTTCCACTGTGCCTTCAGTGCTCTGCTTGATTGGGAACTTCCTACTAGTCAACAAGTAAGTGTAAGCTGCATTAGTAACCTCTGTTTTTTCTCCTTCATTCCACGGCTCTGGACATGCCACTTCTCTCCCCAGGATGCGGTATTAGCTCAGTGGTGAGCTATACATCATGTTAAAAACGCTTGATGAGCAAACGGATTTAGCCCAAAAACCCTTTAGAGCACAGCTTCTCAAAGTGATTATGACTTACTGTCACATACTGTTTCTCTTAGCCCAAGACAGTATCTGAAATCATTCAAGTGATATCTTTTATTGGGACAACTGCACTGGCAGGGGAGAGTAAGAATATTTCAAACAGCACAGAGCTCTTCTTCAGACAGGAAGTAAGGGAAGCGCAGATGCACCCCTAGTGATGTAGTGGCCAAGGGTGTCTTCTGTCTGCTCCATCTAATTTCACCATCTCTCTCCTTTCTTAGACTCAGCTCACCTGGCCATGCTGATCTGTGCTTCTGTAACCTTGCAGTTGGACTGCTGTAGTGTGCTCTATGTTACGCTGCCCTCAAACAATTTTTTTTTTTAAAGGAAATTGCAGCTGGGTCAGCAGCCCGATTATTGTCAGGAGAACAATGCCATTGGAACGTATCTCACCTAGGCACCGTTTTTAACCTTTAAAGCCCTTCATGGCCTATGACCCACATATCTAAAAGACCATCTCTTCCCATATATAGCCATGCACCATCTGCAGTCTTCAGGCTGCCACCTTCCAGCTGTTCAACCACTCAGAGTGGCATTGACCAAAGCCCACAGTTTTTCATTGTAGCTCCACCTCCTACCCTGTGGAAGAGGCTCCATGAGGAGATGGGGTGGGTGCTGTCTCCAGAAGTAATTAGGAGGCCCTGCAAGGCCATTTCATTTCCAGCAGCTTTTAATGGGAACCAGGCTGCAGACATTTATTTTTGGGGGGAGGAATGGAGGTTACTTGTGAGTTTTATAGTTTTTAGATTTGAGTTACTAAGTCACCTTGAGCCATGGGGAAAGGCAGGTATGCATATTTCAATAAATAAACAATGGGAAATGCAATAGATCTATAATCTGATCACCTAACTCTTCAAAAGAGCTTCAGAGTAGCCACACTGGAAGGGATCAGGACTTACACTGGGCGCTTTGAAGAATTAAAAAAGTGGAAGAGACCCAACCAGGGATATACAGTTTAAGAAACTAGCTGATGTTTGCCAGGGGTAAGGGTCTCCGTGAGTGTATGCCAGAGATCTATGTATTGAGTACATATATCATACATGCCTATATAAATAAAGTAGCCTTCTCCGGAGGGCTGTTTTTAATGTCCATATATATATTAAAAACTTGTGGCTTCTGGGGAAGAGGAATTGAGTGGTAACGGTACATAATCGTTAAGAGTGGTGGATTAACAGTCAAGAACCACTGTCTTGAAAGCGTTGCCAGGTTGTGTTTTAGGTGCATCGTAGAGTGTGCTGTGTGGAAGTGTTTTCTGAGGGTGCCTTAGAAAAAGGACTCAGCCTCCCAACATGACTGGGGGACTAGTCAAAGGAAGGCAACTTATGCCTCATTGGCAACTTATGCCTCATTTATGCCATGTCTGCTTAAAGTGGGCAGATCAGCACCCAAAAAGTGAACTGCCTCAGCTGATTATTTTATCACACAGTTTCTTGCTGCTGCCCCCTCCCCCCACTCTGATGTGTGGTAAACACACCCTTCTTCTGCTTGACAGGATGATACAGAGGACTGTTTGAGTTCTGGATGAGTCACAAAACAGTGTGGGCAAGCACACATATTTTTGAAAACTTGTCCCTCTCACAGTTGGGGGAAGAGAGGGAAATTACTATTTTATGCTTCAGGTACACGTTAGAACATTGGGTTTAACTAGGGCTGCCTAGTTAACCCCCCGCCCCAGAGGCCCGTTCCCCGACGCCCCGCCCCAGCGTGCACGTCACAGGGAAGTGACGTTATGACGCCGGGCACACTGGGGGCGGGGCCACAGCCATACAAGGGAAAACTCTATGGCACGCGCCAAGATGCAAACGGGAGTCCCCCGCTGGCAGGGTAAGTGCCACTTGGCAACCCTAGGTTTCACCAGAGTGTTCAGGTTTTGTCCTTCTATATAAGCTTAAAAGCTGTCATTCCCTAATCACGCAGACTTCCATCTCCCAAAGGTATGGCTTCCATGTACTCCTTTTCTGTACATTTGGCCTGGCTCTCAGCAGGCAGCTGTGTTTTATGTGCTGAGTTAACTGTGGCCAGAATTTTGGCTGGTTACAGAGGGACAGTCCTCTTATATTTATCCTTTCCCTGCCAGGAGAACTGGAGAGGCAGCACAGGGAAGCTGTCTCCCACCTACTGGGTGAAAATCTCTGCAAAAGAACTCCAGCAATACCACATTTCACAAACCCCGACTGAGCAGGAATTGTCATTTCTGAGATTCTGTGCCTGCCATCTTCCAGAGATGCTAATACCTTTCCTCTTCCTTATGTTGCACACATTCTAGCAGGTGAACCTGTGGGCAGCAGTCTGATGGATTCCATGGCCATAGTGGGAGTTGAAGTGTGGGCACACTTTACTTGCTGTGGAGGAAGGAAGACTTGATCCTCAGAACATTCCAGTGTTAGAAGCCCTCATTTGTTGAAGCGGCACTTTCAGTCAGTGCTTTGATGTTCTCCATCACGGAGGCTGCTATCGTTGAAGAATTCCTAGAACAGAAAATGTTTTTTGTTTTCAGTTATACCATGAAAAGGGGAAAGGGCACACAAGGAAACAGGAAGGAGACACAGAGATGATATTGCCTGCTCTTTCTTCTATATTTTCCAGGTTGGAAATCCATTTCACAAAACCTATTATGTGCTTAATGCGTTACATTTTAAACGTAGCATTCATTTATCTTTGGCACATTGTTGATTCTGCTGAGTGGCACATCCATAATCAATAAGTGTTTTATTATGCTAAGTTTTCAGTGTCATAAATACACATGAGGCTGGCTTGCATTTATGGAAACTCTTGTGCAAATCGGTTCCCTGTGGTTCGCTTGCCGCCAGAGGGTAACTTATGGCTATTCTGTGCTCCACCCTTGTTGAAGGCATCCGTGATGGTGAAAATATTATGATGCTTCGGAAATGGACCATGTTTGCATGGGTGGAGGTGACATTTTTGAGAAGAGTGTGAAGAAGAAACTGGGCAGCACCAGGGTGCTAAGAGTGCAGACACTGGAACGGTTACTCGGGGTTCCTGATTGCCGAGAGAATTGATGGTTTGCCTGTTGCATGTCTTTAAAAGTATTCTGTTACAGCTGCATTTGTCAGGAGTCCCTGAGTCAGGCAGGCAACATTTCTAACTTGCACAGTTAATGTGGAACGAAGTATATCACATCTGGGGTCTGTTAGAGGAGGACATATATCAGAAAGGGATATTTAAACCAGGGTCTTATCCCTGAAGGAGAAAGAGAACATCCTTTCACTATGAGCTCTTGGTCATCTTTTCCCTTCCCTGCCTTCTGTACTTAAGGGGAGCTGATCAAGTCTTCAGTGTCTTATAATAAGCACATTTCTTGTTCAGGCAGCTAATTATCTGGTGAAGATAAGCATGTGATTGCTTTCCCCCAGCCTATAGTATTCCCCAAACAGACTTATTGCTGTGTGTTGCCGTTGTGATTTGTTTTAGAACTGGGTATTTCCAGCTTGGCTGGGTTTGTAGAGAGATTGGATCAAGGAAGCACTGATTCTGAACACATGGTATCTTTTTTTCCAAATAAAAGGTTTTCTCCCCCAAGCCCCCACCCAGGTTTGTCTTGTGTCTCTTCTGAGTGGTTCTTTTCTCCCTAGAGCATTGGTTCAGAGCAGTTTGTGTACTAACTACCTGGCTTCCTTTTGGTTCCTGGAGAATACCCCAGGGGTACCATATCCATAGCCTGTGTTCGGAAGAG